CAAGAGAAACACATTTGTTTAGGCACGGGTATACGTGCGTAACGCAGCACTGTTACAAGAAGTACCGTATTACACGATAACATTATATTTTATTATTATGTTGTAAACTACACAATTTCGTTTCGGATACGGTTACGGGTAAAAAAAAAATATCAAATAGTATTCCGGGTGGCTGCTGTCCACGGACACATGCATGACAGATGCTAAATGCATTGCACCTACAGAGTGCAAAGTGACAAGAATAGATGTGCGAACACCTGCAGCCGCCATCCGTTGAGGGTAAAAAGTATAATAAAAAAGGCTCTTTGGTCGAAAAGGGTTTCGACGTCTTGTGGGAATCTGACACCACACCGCTGTGCAGGATACACATATATATAGGTACATCTTACATGTCTGTATGGGTATAGTGTTAAATATATAGGTATATAGGTTATAGCCTTATATAGGTATTGGTATATATAATACGACCACGGGGAGGGTTGCGGTAATTAGCGCAGCGGTCGAGGTCACGTACAATTTAAAAAGTCTGTTTTTATTTTCGATTCGCTTGGTGAAATCATAGAGATATTATATAGTACATAATATATTATACATATGTATACTAAAATATGTATTGACAACTGCTGCGGCGGTTCGGCTTCCAGCTATGATGACTGTATGTATATATATGTTATACACCTATTTAAACACGCTGACGCGCCAGCACGACTTTCCCCAAGACATTGTACATTATATATATACGGGTCGATTTTTCTCTCTCACTCGTATTATTTCTTTCATATCGTCGTCGTCTCGCCACCGTTGTATGTAGAAGAAGAGGAGATCATTACAGGCCTCGAGGCTGTTCATAACAGGCGAATATTTAATGTGGCGTAATGTTCTGCTGTGGTGGCACAAATATATATTATGTATAATAAAATAATCGCTAAAAAGAGGACTCGCAAGTACGCGGCAGTTGGGGGTTTGAAGAGTGGGAGGACAGAGGTACACACAACGTGGGTTAACGGTACAAACCTAACGACCGCACGGTGCCACAGTATACCAACAAAGGAAGATTATTACCACCAACTAAGTCCAAAAGGTCGCATCTATTCGGTCACGTTCGTTCTAGGTCCTTGAAGTGTTCACATTGAATTAGTTTTTAATGCGAACAAAATAGTTCAATGTTAAGCTGCATGCATGAATATGACGTTATGTGTTCTTTTTTTATTTTCAAAAGTATACTCTCGAGTAAAATATGTTCCTTTTTATCCTTTTTATYCTTTTATTATTATTATTATTATTATTATTTTTTTTTTATTTGACAA